AAATTACCCTCCTGGATGTTTTTTGGATCTAGAAAGTGAAGTGTGGCACAGGGGGGGTGTCACAGGGTAGGTTTGCCACTGGTAAAAAAGTAGGGAGCAGGGAAGCACCAACTCAACCCCTTTACAAGTGAGAAGGATCAAAGCTCAAGCTCCCAAGGGGACTTTGTTCTGTGCTACCTGGCCAGGGGATGGGTACCCAAGCATTTCACTCTGTAGCTGACATGCAAAACCCAAAGCTCTGCCACTCAGCACAAAGCATGCCTACAAGCAAGGGCTGCAATTCTTTAGAGTGCTTGCATCAAGGAAATGCATTAATTGCAAGGAAAAGGCGCTGCTGGGATGCATTCTCCTCCTTGGGCTGACCCAGGAACACACAATGCTCAGATTCCTAGGCTAAGCCATTGCAGCTGGGGAGTCACTGAAGGAGCTGTGTTGAAATTAGCATCTCTCATCGTAGCACTCCTAACTCAACCCATGCAGAGCCGGAGCTGTGTCACTCTGTCATTAGCGATTGCTTAACAGCTCACTTGAGCCTGCTCTTCCCCCCCTCCCAGTCGTCTGGATTTTAAAGCAAGGCTGTGCTATTCCGGCATGCGTGTCCTGCCTCGGTGCTGGAGACAGATGCACTCAGAGGGTGCTGACTCACGGACGCACGCAGATTAAACTTGGATTGCTAAAGCAGTTGCTGTCCCAGCTGTCCTTTGCTCCCCCTAGCCACAGCACAGACAGCTGAACTACACACAGATCAACCCCCAAACGCTACTATACACCCTGATGGATGAGGGGACCAAGAACCGGCCCCAGATGACTTTTATCTGTGGGGCTGTAAGATGCAGCCAGCCAGAGGCTGCTTCACGTACAGTGCAGATGTTTCTGCCATGAGGTGGAGACATCCAGGGGAAGGGAGGAGCAAAGAGCTGGGAGCTCCAGGGGTGTCAGCCGTCTGCCTGGGTCCATGAGTCAACTCGCTGACGCGTGGTGAAGCCACATGCTTTAGTACATGCAGCTTTCCCCACACTGCCCGCCGGTCTGTCTCCAAGAGGTGGAAGGGGTAATGCAGTCCCTAGTCATGCTCTGGCCTTTCGCAGGCAGGCAGCAAACAAAGCTGGCAAGCAGGGCACTGGGATTATTTTACCATCTGTGCATTAGAAACTGGCCCAGGAGTCACCAAGCTCGCTTCATGCAGGACGTAGCTGCTTTGGCGTGCTAATGACTCCTGCTCACTGTCAGCTGGGGCTAGATTTGAATGGGGGATGAGGAGGTGGAAAACACATTCCCTTTTCTATTTCAGCAACCGCATCCTTTTAGAGCAAAGCCAGTTTGGAGAAGAATGAATCCTCGCTTTAAAGAGCGCTTCCCATCTGCTGTTCATCAGCATCCTCACCCTCCACCAAGACAACCCAAGGGGGACCTCGGGCCCTGGGCAACCAGCCCACCACGGGGCAGCCCCCTTGAGTCCCTTGAAGGGCTCAGCAAAGCCTGCTAAGGAAGGGGGGTGTTAGGAGAATGTATTTTGCACATTTCAAAAAGGAAACCTGGGACCTGGTATCTCATTCTATAAAGTAATCATGGACTTAATTGCATTTTGCTGCAGAGTTGCCTTAACATCAAGGGAAAATCAAGAGGGATTGTTCAACATCAAGACTAATCTCACACATGGAACTTATTGAACGTAGGAACCACGTTTTTGCTGGCTCAAGGTGAAATGCTAGGCTGAATTCTCCTTCAGCTGCGAGAAAAGCCCTAGGCACGCTCATCCTGCATTATTCCAACTGTAAAGAGCTTCAATTATACACATATAACCCTTCCCTCCCTCCTTCAGCGGTGTCGCAATGCAACAGTGCCTCGTTATGATCAAACTCCTCTTTTATGGCTATAGGAATGTGCGGAAGTCTTCTACCCTCATTACACAAATGACTCCTTAGCAGCTTTATTTTAAGAAACTACCCACAATTGGTAACACAACCGCATTTTATCTATCACTGAGGGGAAGCTGTGACTGACACCTGAGCGTGTCCTCAGCAACCGTGGACCTGCACGTATAGGGCAGGTCCTATGCATCTAAGCAACTACAGGAACTCACCCCTCCCTCTGCACCACACTGAATCACAGTCTTGCTTCTGCTAACAAACTTGCTTGCTAAACAGACATTTAATACTATTTATGCATAGGGAGGAAATACAGAATTCCTTTATTGGGGTAAAAAAACGACACTAAAGAGCAGGTCAAGTTCCAAATCCAGCAGTAGGTTTTAACCAGTGTTGTTCCCTTTTTTCTCCCTTTGTTTTTTTTCTTTTAACAGCTGTAGCTGTGCACAGATGGAAAAACATTTGGTCAGAAAGCAGCAAATTAGTGTTTTCAGGCTAGAATTCTGCTCCCACCGCTCCTCCATTTCCATGCAGCTCTGAACGCTTTATTTCTTCTTAGCATTGACATTTTTGCACACCCAATTCATGCCGTCCTTCAGACAGAGAAAGGTAACATTAGTCAAAGGAAGGGAAAAGGAATCCCCCAATCCCACCTGGCCACCATTCTGCAGGCACCGTGTTCTGCCTCCTCACCAACCTCCTGCTTGCTCCCTGCACCCAAAACCACTGTGGGTTAAAAAAATAAGTGCTTCCTTGCTCAGCAGATGTTGTCACACAGAGCTTATTAAATCTTTCATCTGACCATAAAAAGCATCATCGTCTCATCATGTCACAATGTGTAGGTCCTTCGAGGAAGGATCGCTTTGCAGTCGAGCTGCGTCAGTGGCAGATTGAAGGCTCAGCTCCAGGTTCAGCTCCAGATGATTTGTGTAACCTTGGGCAAGTCATCTTATCTTTGAGACCGTGGATTTTAGGGGGCTGCTTGCTATACAGTCAGCTCCCTGCTAAGAATATGGCTCTAATTCTCTGCTCAGCTGCAAGCCTTGAAATCCAGATCCATGACAGTCACTGCAATAACTGGATTTGGACCCTGCTCCCTGTTCCTTGGGGCCCCCACAGAAAATGGGTCCTCAGGGGATCCACAGGGGTTCAGTGAGAAGTGATGTGGTCATGTTTTAAGAGGCTGATATATTCTTCAGGCAGAGTTCCTGACCACAGCAAGCAGGACAGGAGCACTTCTGCTGTGAATACCTCATTTGCGAGTTTATTGCTCATATCCCAGAATGGGACATGCTATTGAAGGCCAAGCAACACTTTATCTGTTCCTGTCCCTTATCTATTAGGAGACACACACAACGGAGAGCAAGATGCACAGTCTCCTCGTAGTTGTCCCCCATCAAACCCATTACCTCTGCCATGCCTATGTGGTGTCTCTGCTGACAGGGAGGCACAGGGCAAAAGGTAGAGGTCTGGGGATGAGAGAGGAGCAGCGCATCTTTGTGCTTTGAAATGGGGCAAACATTACCTTAGAGTCCAGGGCAGGGGGATTTCGCTGTATTATGTTCAGTGGTCATTTTTAGATCATTAGAATTATAATTAGACCTTGAAAAAAGATCAGAACCTTTGGGCCAGCATCGTGGCCAGCCCCATGGCAGCAGTGGTGCTGGCTTCCTGCACCACTGTCCCCAGACTGCCAAAAAGCTACCAAGGACCTCAACCTCTCCAAGGAGAAAGAGCCAACGGCACAGCACAGCAGGACCTTTGGGTAGGCACAGACCCACTGCTGTTCCTCCATGCTCCTCCTCAGCCACCAAGGTGGTGGTCATCTCAGAAGGGAGCTAAAGAGTTAAAGAGAGAAAAGAGGGAGTCCTCAGGGCTTAATCAGAAGCAGAGAAGTTCTCACTTGAAAATACCAATTCACCTTGATAGCTGCGCTATGTGACACTTCTTATCTGAAGGGGAGCAGCAACTTTTGAAATCAGCCCTTGTTACTGTGTTTAATAAAGAAAAAGCGGGCCCAGCTTCCGTGCTGGGGTGCACATGAGGCCCTACGCTAATAACACTTCTAACTCTAACCTTGGGGAGGGTTGATGGCTCCAGTTTCATTTATTTATCTCCACAGCAGAGATCAGTGTAAAACAAATTGTCTGAAATCCTCACAGCAAATGGGAAAAGATGAGAGGTAGATTCATTTTAAGGCCCAGTAGCTTTGTGTCTTCCCCTTTCAATAACACTGATAACCTAGGTGTAAAACATGTAATGCCTTAAGCAATCAATAGCGTGGTTTAAAGCTTATCACTTTAGAGAGAGAGGGAGCGAGTGATTCCCAGCATGAGGAATGCCAGGGCTTAACAATGGGGCTAGGAAGAGAGGTGTCAAGCCTTTGGCTTGATTGTGTGCTTTAGAAATATGCATGATTGCCTGCAAAGGGTAAAAATAAATAAATAACTAAAAATGCTCCCACAACGATTCCAGCTTCCCCTGCCTCGGAAGCAATAATCACATTTGCACACATCATGGCATACAAGGCAAGCAGAGCTCCTCATTCATTTTGAATGTAGGTTTATTTGCTGAACCAGAACAGCTGAGACAGCTTAAAGTAATAAATATCAGCTGACACCCTCTGCTATTCAGCACAGCAATCCCAGAAACAATACATCACTGCAAAACAACAAACACGCATCCTATCTTCCACCTAATCTGACCACAACCTGAATTCACAGTGATTAAAACTCTGCCTGCTGCCATTTGGGAGCTCGGGAAGAGGGAAAGACAGACCGTTTCCACACCAGCGTGGCGAGGGTCATAAAGCAGAGTTTATGATGGGATTTACCATGGTTGGGAGCCTGTCTGCATCAAGCATTTAACGAGGGCAAAAGAATGACATAGCAAAATGCAAGAGGAAAGGTGAACTCCAAACAGGCTTGAAATACATAAGTAGGTCACCAAACTTTTATATCAAGAAATGATATAAAAGAGACTTTATATAAAGAGACTTTAAAAAGTCTCTTCTGGCATAAGTTACCTGACACAAAAAAATCACATTTAATTGTAAATACCTCCAGTCTGACAGTGCTAACAAGAAAATGAATATGCTCAGCTCTACGTGTGTTGTATCAGAGAGGTACGTGTGAGACATCTTCCTCACCTACAACCACATCACTGCTACATCCATAGCTTCTGGTGCACCTTTGGGAGTGTGTGTTCTGCAGCACCCCCAAATACTCTGGAGAATAGCAGATGCAATGGAAAGCAAAAGAAACTAAAAGGTATGTTTGCATTTCTTCTACCTAAGGTTTGAAGCAGGATGGAGGGTTGGTAAAATAAGAGAAATCCAGGGAAGCTGATACAAACACAAAGAGCTGCTATGGGGAGGGCACACAGGAGGGAGGAAATGGTGCTTGAAAGAATGAAGTCCACAAGGAATCAACTGTTGTCATCCTTTGCCTCTACACACTCTGTCCCTACATCTGCATGCTGAAAAGATGGCTCTATGCAAAAAGTACAGTCCCTACAGTAACATTTACATCTTGATAGATGTCCTTGTGCTGCTTTGTTGAGACAGAGACGTTGGCAGGTACTGAGGATAGAGATGGATACAATATTAGTATTCCAGCCTCAAGTCAACCCTGGGAAAACTTAGCCAGGGAAAGATTTCAGATCTTTCAGCTTTGCCTCTCTCAGCTCCTTAGCAAGCAGCTAGTAAACTTTACCAAAGTAGAAAGAAAGAACTCCAGGGAAGGGGATAATGCTCCTTGCAGAGAAATGCTGCTCAGCACAACCCCGCCTCGCTGCAGTCACATCTGCTCTTGTGCCAAGGGAGTTGTACTCTAGCGCCCTTTGGGAAAGGACTGGTAGAGCCTTCCCCAGGAGAAATAAAAAGTCCTGCTTGAGATTAGTCCACTGCTTGCTTATTCCTGGCATTATCAGCTTTGTGGTTATGGCAGTGAAGTAATCTGACTTCAAACACAGCGAACAAGTCCTTTCCACCCTATAAAAAGTCTCCCAGTTTCTGCTCCCCTGCAAGCCAGGGATCAGGCAAGGCCACAAACTTGTGACCCCTAACATGACCTTAAGAACAGCAGAGCTTAATCTTTTCATGTAATCCTCTGTCCGCCATAACAAATTGGGTCAGGCAAGTGCAAAATTCTCCATCTCTAGCATTTTTGGTATGCGTTATTTTAACTGTCACCTTCTTCTCCCACTGCACAGCTAGCACTGTGCCTTCATTATCTGTCATTTCTTTGCACCTCCAGTTATCATATAGGCTGGCTTTCACAGGCTCCTGCAAGTACCATACCCGTTGTCTTTTGCCTGGGTGCAGGCTTTGCTTTTGTCCTCTGAGACCTTGTATCCCTGATGCAGCGCTGTAGACTCCCTCCTTACTCTGCTTAAAAAACACAAGACTTTGCCCTGTAATCTGGAAACATGGTTGTTTTTCCTCAACAAGTACTCACTCTGCCTGCCCCAGGAGAGCATTGAAACTGGTTTAAAATCACATTTACAAGTAGCTGCAGAACCTTGTGAAGATGTGGAAGATCCCCGCCCCATCTAGCCTGCCCTGGATAAAACATCTTTAAGACAAAACCTAGCTCAGAAGATACAGCCTTGCAGGGGGGTCCTATTCTGAATCTTGCACTTATGAAAGCGCTGAATTGCAGCATGGGTGTAACTTTGGTCTTGGGCTTCAGTCTCAACTGGGTTGAAAGAGCCAGGAAGGAGAAGGCGGCTCAGCTCTTCCCACAGTCCTTTGGGCCAGACCAACTCTGGCATAAGTTGGAGAAGTTTAGTTGCTACTCTCAGTTCCACTGGCTTTTAGTGGTCTCTGGGGGCTCATTATGCTTGGGACACTGTGGATGCAATACACTGCAGCATCGTTCTGGAGGATGACTTCTAGGGGCAGGCTGAGCTGCTGCTGCCTTGACTGGAGAGTCTTCCTTTGTACAGGAACAAGTTGCAGAGCATGGACCAGTCCAAAGCCTTGAGTCGTGTTTAATACACATCCTGGCCCCTAAATAACACTCCAGAAAGAGGGCAGACTGCAAAACAGAGGAGTCCTGCCTTGCTTTCACCCTACCCAGGCCAGCCAAAGTGAAATGTGCACAGCTCTTGCATGCCAAAGACTACAGCTGGAGATCTGGTCACAAAACACAACCCCAAGAGCCTATGTGGCACCAGAGTGCTGTTGTGTAGCAACGGTTCTCTTAAGTTTCTCTGCTGTCATTGATGATCACCTTCCTCGCCTGCTGTGCTCTGTGCAAGGGTCTCAGTGTAAGCTAGTGCGGGACTGTGTTCCAGAGGCAAAAGCTCAAATGGCTGTGGCAAGAAAAGGCTTTCCCGCATTCCTAACTAAGGCTGAAGGATAAAATCAGACCCAAGCAGACATTTTGCTTGAAAAAGTCTCTAAGCATGAGGAATGCCACTCTTCCCTCAATGGCGCCATGAAGTCTGACTAACAAGGCAAGAGCTGCCCACAGTTACAATCAGGAGGTAATGAAGTCTTCAGCTGTGTAAAAGGCTGCCAGCTGGAGTCAAGGACACTACACGGGTTCCAGTTAACCCAGTCACCTCTCTTCTGAGCCTGCCCAGGACATTGCTGGGCCCCTTTTCCAGAGCCCCCAATGGTTAATTTTAAAATAGAAGATGACAATATGGATTCCCTCCTTAATTAACAGTTTTATTAAACAACTCATTTCAAATAATAGTTAAATTCTCTAAATTTATATCATTCTATTAACCATAATCTAATCTCATTAACCTTGAAATTCCCAGTCTTAACTACCCAATTCTATACACCATGGTGCTAGCAGCTAAACTAATTAAATGACCTTCAAACTATTTCTCCTTCATGTACTGGCATTATTTATCTTTGCTCACTGCTCTCCCTTCAAGCTATCACAAAAATCTTCCCCTATGAACTCTTCCTGCATGCACTCAGTACTAGATATGCCACCACTCTTCCCTGCAAAATCTGTCAGCGATGTCTCCAATTTTCCTCTAGCTAATATATTCCATCAGCGGCGATGGTTAAGCGTGCTCACTCCTTGGCTTTCATTCTGAGTACCTGATGCTTCCACATCTTCATTTATTTTGCTGTCACTCATTGTCATTTCTCAAAGAAGTCCTCAAAGCAATGACCTGAGATTTAACTGCACACAGAGAGCTCCTGTTCACAGCCACTGGTAGAGGGAGATATTATGTACCATGATCTTCAAAAAATGTCTTACTTAACCTCACTCTCTACACAAGTTCTTCTTTGATTCCCCTAAATTTTGAGCATATTGACCTCTTCTCAGAGTCCCAGGACTGAAGATGCCATTTCTTCCTGTGATGATCCAGGTTCAGTTTAAAAGCCATCTCCCAAACCATTTTGTTCCATTAATTACCAAGGCAAGGGAGAGTTTGGCATTCTTGCTGTCCGATCTGACAGGGCAGGAGTTATGGCAGAAGAGAAATGTAGAGGCTATTTTCTATAAGCTGTAAAGAGTTTGTGACTCCCCTGACCTTTCGGCAATAATCATTTAGGGAATAAGCTGCAGTATTTAGGGCAATGAGACTTCTGACATCAAAGCAAAACGTTATCTGGCCTGTATCTAAATTAATTTGTCTAGATAAGCATGATGAACAAAATATATAGGCCTATAAATACTTGCATTTAGTTTGTCTTCCTTTCCCCAGTAGAGGGTATTGGGCTGCATAGTTTACTGACTGTATAGGGAAGCAGTGTACTTCAAGGAAAAGGCACCGTAAGAAGGTGCCATCAATGAAGAAGTGTGCAGCCCACTCCAGAGAGCCTACTGATCAGCTTGAGAAGGAAGCGTTCTTCAAAGCTCACAAACAGAAAGTGCCACTTCCTGTCTCTTAGGTCTTCCACATCCTACACACATCCCTGAATTTCACCTGCCTCTTTACTGCCCCTTAGCAGCTGGAGAGCTCAGTTGGACTTCCATAAACTAGAGGAGGCCCTGGAGGAGGAAAGGTGACCTCTGCCTGCCTGCAGCTCTGTGAACTGCAGCCCTGCTTTCCTGATCACATTTCTTTGGACTGCCATTGTGGAATGCCTTTCCCTCTACCACCACCTCTTCAAAATAAACATGAGAGTTGAAGCCTTTCACAAGATGTGCTGCAACACAGCTGAATTTGCATCTTAGCTAACTAAATAAAGGCATTGTGAAGGACACCATCTACTGTGTTTAAGTCTAAACATCTGGCAAGAATTTTAAATCAGAACTGCTGTACTGGGTCAGATTATTGGTCCATCCAGGCCAGCACCCCCTCCCTGGATGCCACAAGAAAGAACATGTAGGAACAGGATCTCTCTTGCTCTGTTCTATCCTCCCAAGCCATGGTTCAAGCTGTTGCCTCCAGATCCTAATGGCCAGAGGTTGCCTGTAGATCTCTTCTGAAATTCACTCAGTGTTTTTCTGAACGAACTGATATCTCTGGTCTGTACAACATCCTGTGCCAATGAGATCCACAATTTAATCACACAACTGGCAAAGAAGCACTTATTTTTATTTCTTTTAAGCTGCTGATTATTCCATTAGGAACACCCTTCCTCTAGCAATGTGAAAAACAGCACATAGTCTAGCTGACGTTTTTACACCTTATTTTATAAATCCTGAAGATGTTCCCACTCCCTATCCTCTCTCTTCAAAGATGAAAGTTCTAATTTATTTATTATCCCCTGGTATAGACACCACTCTGTGCTCCTGATATTCTCACCAGAGGATTCTCAAATCTCTCCTAATTCTGAGCAGATATAAGGACAGTATTTTTTCTGGTGAGTGTAGTTAAGCGCTAGAAGAGCTTACCCAGAGAAGCTCTAGCATCTCCATGCCTGGAGATACTAATAACTTGACTGGACAAGGCCCTCAGCAACCTCTTCTAGATTCACAGTTCTCCCCACCTTAAACATGAGATTGGTCTAAAGATCTGAAGACTCTTCAACCTGACTTTTTTGGTGGCCTCTGTGATTCTACTACTACTAAAGTCTTTTTAGACGAGGCAGATGCAGAAATGAATGCCATGTTCAAGGTATGGGCTCACCATGCCTTTATCCCGCTACAGAGGAAATGTTTTCTGGGATGTTTCTTCTTTGCCTTCTGATAATTGTCTAGTATTTTATTTTCTCTCTGCCCTCTGATAAGCAGTAAGCTGCTATTCCCAACGATCTACTTCTCAGTAATGGCAGCTCATTTGAGTCCATCATTGTATGTGTATAGTTAAGATTGTTGTTCCTCACGTGCATTACTCTGCACTTGTCAACACTGAATTTCATCTGCCATCTTACTGCCCACTCAGTATTGCGGGCTCCTTCTGCGACTCTTCATACTCAGCTTGAGATCTGACTATCCTGAACAGCTCTGTGGCATCTGCAAGTAAGGTTTTACTGAAACTGCAAGGAAGATAAATCTCTTCACCATTATGTTTCTTTAAATACCAGTGAAGGGAGTATTCCCAACTGCTCGGATTGTGAGCACTGCAAATATTTCATTAATTCAGGAAAGCCTAAGAGTGAAATAAACAAACCTAGGTCCCATTTACATTACAAAGAGCTACTATACTGCAGAACTGGCTACAGCACAGGAGCCCAAGACACAGCTATTACAGTTCAGCACAGGAATACAGCTCAGCCCCCTCAGGGTGGGGTTTGCTGCCCCACATGCTGCCGTTATAAGTGGTCCTTGCCATGTGTGTGCAACTCTTGTGTTTCTCTGGATCAGAAGAACTGAACGTTTTCTTTCTGGCATCTGGGTTGAGTAAAACACCAAACAACGTCAGCAGCAAAGGTAAATCAGGTTTCTAAAGCGCACACTTGTAACACTCGAAGGGGTTAACACCAGAAGACGATTTGTTTTGTGAAAATGATTAACCTGACAGCAGTCTCTTTAAAACAAACCAATGCCTTCATTTGGCCCAGCCAGAGGGTCCTGGGTGGGGATGCAATTGCTCTCCCCTTCCCTTTGCACAGGCGATGAGACACGTGCCCTGTGTTCCACACTACAAGGGTTTGGCTGTGCTGACCCTCCTCTGTGAGGCAGCCGGTCCAGCCCCACCCTGTGTATCAACAGACAACCATCTCTTACAGATGGCCTGCTGGCACAGCAAGCCTTCTCCAGAGCCTCACCTGTACTCCCTCTCCTGAAAGAGCTGAACAAGACTGGATCTGCCAGACTCTGTCCCGGATTGTGTGTAGGTTCAGTCCCTCAGCAATCTCTGAAGCAGGGGCAGCTGTCAGCAAATCCTGCTTGTTAGCGAATATGAGCACGGGGACTCCACTAAGCTTTTCTTCATCCAAAAGCTCAGCCAGCTCCTGTATCATTTGCAAGGGAGTGGGGTGGGGGAAAGACAGAGAGAGGGAAGGGAAGAAAACCTTCAACCACCAGTGGTTGTCTCTAATTAGAATTATATTTAGGGCAAATGCTAGAAGAGCATGTTCCAGTGAAACCTAGATCTTATTATAAGAGAGCAAAAATGTATACAATCATCTCTGCCCAAGGTTCAAAAGCTATTTCTTCCAATTACAGGTTACAAAAATCTTCATCTTAGTCTGAAATTAGCAGTTGCCTTAAAGGCTACAACTCTGTGTTTTACCAGTCCTGCTCCCAGGAGACCAAAATTGATGAAACAGCAAAAAACATGTAAATTGGCAGTATGAGGAGGCTGTCTTAAGTTATTGCCTGACTGGCATTTGTACCTGAGCAGCCGTTGACAACAGCCTGATACTGCTAACAGTGAGTTTCAGGGGTTTGTTCCAAGGTTTATACATTGCAATTTGAGCAGGAGAGGATTTTTTTCATCCCCAGACATGGAAATCTCCCTCCTGCAAGAAAGTGTTTTTGAAGGCATTGGCTAGCTGAAGACAAGCTAGCTTTACTAGCTCGATTTTGGCTCCATATGCACAGCACTCATTGGGTGGCATCTTGAGAAATGGGTTTGTTCATTCAAAACTGGGTGACTCAAAGAGACTTTTTTAATAGCTCAAATCCGAATCTGCAGTGGATCAACAGTGGCTGAAATGCTTCATGTCGAGGGTTGTGCAATGGCTTCATGTGAAACAAACACACAGTCTCAAGTCACTTCCCTAGTAAAGACATGACAAACCCAGCAGAACCTGAACCTGTACGGACTGCTGGCACTGCAGATAGATGAGTACATGAGATTTCTGTGGGCTCCTTAATTAGCTGGAGATCTCATGCTTTCAGATACTGTCCTAACATCTTTCCTCCACTGGCTAGAAAATTCTGGATTATATGAGTGCAGCCAGGGAGATGCTGAACTGCAACAGAAATCTGACTCCATCGCCCCAAAAGCAATGTTTGGTTTGAAACCAGGATGAGAGAATAGAGTTACAGAGTTGGCTGGGACGTTTGCAACAAAATAGGTCTTTCATGCAACATGGCTGATTTATTGAAACCAAAAGTGTTTGTGGAAATACAAGGGGTCCAGGCTGACTCCACCTGACTTGGGCGAGTGCTCTAAGCATCTGCTTCCTCTCCTTCTCTTTTGCTCAGTAAGTATTTAATTGCTGACATAAAATGAAATAGATTCCCCCCGCCCCTAGAACAACCAATAGTTCTGCTGTTTGGGTCTGCCCATGACACTTGAGAGGCAAAAGATCAAGTGTCTCCTTCAAATCAGACAGAAGAGAGGGCTTTAATCTAAATCTCCCATTTCTAGGGGATAAATCTGTTGCTAGCTATTTTGGGACAATGTCACTTCCTGAATTTTACAAAAGAAAGTTCAAAAGTCCTATTTTTGTTCTATCCTAAAACACAAAATGTTGCAAAAGATCAAAACTGCAAAACGGAAATCTTATTTTCTGGCCAGTCTCAGCTAGAAAGTTCTTAATTTTGGGCATTTTTTTTTTCAATTATATCCAAAAGACAATCAAGTCAATATGATTTCCATTTCAACTCTGTAAATAAGAAAACAGGATTCCTCAGGGTCTTGGTTTGGCAAGGTTTAAAGGACTTGGAGAAGTTTTTGCTTTCAGTCTTAGGCTCCATTTGCTATTATTGTATAACTTCAATGAAAACCGTTCTATTTAAACGGAATTAGGCTACCTATTTTCCTTGTTTCACATCTACCAAAATAATCTGCATTGATGTTGAAAGGCAAGTCTCTTGAAATGCAAATTTCTCTCATAAACAACAAAACCATCTTCCTAACTTTTGTGAGCAAGGGGCACTCAGAAGCACTCAATTACTTCAAAGGAAGCTGGGCATAAGTAACTTACCTGACCTGTTTCTTCAAACCTCTTCCTATCTGCGCTGTCAATGACATAGATCTGAAAAAGAGAGAAGTTACTCTTCCCAGAAGACACTCTTCTACAACATCACGTGCTTAAGTGAGCTGAGCCTAATGATTATGCTTTTGGGCACAAAGGTCCCCAGTATTATTCACAGCCACGTGGGTAGGATCAGAAGGGAGCTGGGGGCAGTACTGAAGATGCTCTCACCATCTCCATAGCATTTGTTATCTGAAGAGAACAGGTTCTGCCTGGTATCTTTCCAAATGACCAGCTTATAAGCTGAAGCTGAGTACAGGAGGACAAAACCTGTGGAGCCAGACACGGTCTAGCAAAGCGTACAACCACTGCACTGGTGTGACTATGCCGTGCTGCCCTCTAGCAGGACCCATCACCTCAATAAGCCACCAAGGCACACAATGGCACTCGGAGCAGGTGAATACATTTAGGACACTCAGTTCCTCTCCATCAAGTGATCCTACTGCAGCATCCTGGAGCAGATGGCTGGGGAGAAGGGCTGGATAGAGCCTGTGAGACTCCAGCTACCAGCTTGTCCACCAGGATGATGGTCTAGTGTGAGTCATCCCTGGTCTTAAGGTCCTTTCCAATCCAGACCATTCTATGACTCTACGATGGAGAAAACAGGGAGCAGCTGGCTCATGAAGACAGACAATACAATCCTGCCACCCTCTCAGGGCTGGGCACCACATTTCATGGTCCACAAGGAGGTCCCAACCAGACACTTGTTCCCTGGTATGAAGAAGGGTGGATCCCCCAGCCTGCAGGCTCCCTGCCTTGGGAGGGGCTCTCCACCCTCTCCAGTACCACAGCATGTACCCATTTCTGTCTGTAAATGCAAACGAGACCTCAGTGAAGGCAGCTCTAAGTCTACACAGGCTAAAAGGCTCCTTAAAGGTCCCCCTAAA